CTTAACTTCCCAACTTCAAGTGTTTTTCTTTTCACACTTGGAATATTTCAACTGCTTCCAAGCTAATCTTCCCACCTCTGGCTTTGGCTCAAGTCCCTTCACCATATGGTTGCCTGATGACCTACTTGGAACACAAATTTGATCAAGTTTCTATCCCTGACCAGCTGGCTTGAATGATTCCTCATTTAACTTACAGTACAAGTTAAATGCCCTGTGTAACCCTGTCCTTACCACTCCAGCTTCCGTTACAGCCTCTATTGACATTACCCTCTCTGTTTGAGTAACACTGAACTATTTTATGTGTGTTCCTTTTTAGCACATACATTTTGATGACTTTGTAATTTTGCTTGTGCCTATAATGGTTTTCTCTATATAACTCCTACTCATCCTTCAAGGATAATGTTAGGTGACACCTCTCCACGAAGCCCTCCCTGACTCAGTCAGCCTGGGCTGGGTGAGTACTCCCCTAAATCCCAGGAAGGTAACACACTTCATTCAGTTATTTACTGCACTGTACTGACAAGACATACTCTCTCCCGCCAACTTGGTGGTAAATGTCTTGTATTCCTAGCACTCTATTTGAATCATCCACAATAAATATTCAGTAAATGAAGTTGAGGAAAATGTGTACTGTAGATGTGCAAGCAGAGGTGAATCACAGGTTCTCAACACTGACTGTAAATAGGAAACATCTAGGAATCTTTAAAAAAAATACAGGTATCAATGACCCACACCTGTCCATTTAAGTCAGAAGCTCTGGGAGGGGGGACCTGGACACTGACATTTGAGACTGAAGTGATAAGGTGTAGGTGAGGCTGGGAGCCAATTGGTTAGATGGTCACTGGGCATGGATTTGGTGAATGGGATGCTAGAGACAGATGTAAGTATTGATGCTTGAGGTACCTTTTATTCATGAAATTCTATGAGATGATTGCTGGAATTATGCTTATTATTGGTTCATTTTCTCAAAATATTCCCTGCACAATATAACGGTTGTTTTGTTTTTCATGCAGGTAGCTCAACTGACCAGCCAGGAACCAGACTGAGTCATTCCACAACATTAGTGTTCTTGAAAGAACACTCATCACAAATACACATGTATTTGTTTAAAATAAGAAAAGAGTAAGAAAAGAGTAGCAAGTGGAGAAAAAGAAGAGTGGGTTTTAGATACTTTTACATTTATGTCATGATATTAGGGAAA